CGCCTGCCAGGGCGTGGAGTGCAACTTCACGGAAGGTGCGTTATCCAACTCATATTAAGATCCCGCTAATTATGAATCCCCCAGCGGCTTATCCACTTTTTGAGATCTCGTTTTAAAATCGTTCAGTAAGCACTTGCCAAAGGTGCAAGCGCAACTCTTACTGACACCCATCCCATCCCCACCCTTCGTTTTCCCTTCCCCCTCTCCCCCTCCCCCCCTCCAGGTGCCATGTACTCGTTCCCCCGCATTCACCTCCCCCCTGCTGCCATTGCTGCGGCCAAGGCAGCAGGGAAGGCCCCGGACGTGTATTACTGCCTGCGGCTCGTAGAGGCTACGGGGATTTCAACTGTGCCCGGCTCAGGCTTTGGGCAGAAGGATGGGTGAGTGAGGCGATAATGCCAGTGTTTGAGAGAGACTGAGTGGGATCGGCCAAGAGGGCAGGAAAGGGAAGGCCCCTGACGTGTATTACTGCCTGCGGCTTGTAGAGGCGACCGGGATTTCAACCGTGCCCGGCTCAGGCTTCGGGCAGAAGGACGGGTGAGTGAAGGGAGTGAAGAGAGGTGTTGATGCCAGTTTTCTTGGGATAAGTGCCTTCGGGAGAGGGAGAGGGAGAGGGGGAGAGAGATGGGCCAAGGCGGAAGGGAAGGCCCCGGCTGTGTTTTACTGCCTGCTGCTGGTGGAGGCGACTGGGATCTCCACCGTGCCCGGCTCAGGCTTCGGGCAGAAGGAGGGGTGAGTGAAATTCTAGTGTTCTTGGGCTCGGTGGTTGAGAGAAGTGGAGAGCGTGAGATGGTTAAGAGTGGGGAAAAAAAATGTCAAGGCAGCAGGGAAGGTGCCTGAGGTTTAGTATTACTGCCTGAGGAAGTGAGGGAGTGAGTTGGGTGGGTGGAAGTGCACATACGAACGTGTAGAGTGAAGTGATCAAGCTCTTTTTCTCCACCCCTTTATGCCTCCCCTCGTTATTGTCACGCTGCAGCACTTTCCACCTGCGCACAACCATTTTGCCGCCCGAGTCCAAGATGCCTGAGGTTATGCGCAACTTCCAGAGATTCCATTCCGATTTTATGGCGAAATACGGTGGCAAGGCCAAGCTCTAGTCTGTATGCACTTGGTGTCTAGGCTCAGATGAAGTAACCAATGGTTGCCATTCATTTCAGTGCTTTTCAAATTTGTTTACAATTATATACTTCATGATCCGTCATGTTCTATTCAGCTACCTACATCTTCACGTCATGCTAAATCATTTTACCAGCCAAGGACTGGGAACATCGGATGCTGTCCTAATCACAGGGGTCAAATGGATGTGGTCATGACACCCACAAACCTTGATCTAAAGACAGCATCCCTCATCGTCAGAATGAGCATTTTAAAGAGGTGGAGAACAAAACCAGAGGTAAAATAGGCGAAAATTTGAGCAATAAAGCCACACTCATTAAATATCGTCTTTCAGACGGAGTGAACACTACACTAAGCATGGGTCCTTTGAGCTGAAGGTCCACGAGGTAGTGTTCATACCAGCCCACTGGCCCTGCAAGCACACAAGCACAACCTACACACTGAAAGGAAATGAAGCGTCGCGCTCCAAACCCTTCTGGGTCCTCAAAAAGGACCTCACCTCTTCTACTCCTAAATCCGCGGCGAACGAGTTGGTATGTACCGCGTAAGACAAGGCCCGCCAAGCCAGGTCTCGTCCGTAGATTATTTGAAAACAGAATCATCTGTGCGTGTCGGTGCGAGTTGGGCCTGACATGATGTCGTCCCAAATCTCGTCCCACTCGTCTCGTTGCGATGGTCTCCTCCTCTCGGGACTCGTGGCGAATCTGTTCGTCGTTCGCGGAGGGGACCGAGGCCTATCAGGTATGGTGTCGAGCTGCGACAGCGCCGTCTGCAATGAAATATATATATTGCGTTATCGTTAGTCATTATACGAGAGTTGGAGACCAGCATGATATCAGATTATTAGCGAAGAGATGGTTGACTGGAAAAAAAAGGGTACCTGATAAGCGTTGTGAATCTCCATGAACTTTGACGAAGCTCCAGATGAATGATTTGTGTCAGGATGGAACTGCAGACAACGAACCAGAGCAACAGATTAGGACAAGTGGACAAGCTGCAATCAGTGAAGCGCTAATACATCACGAGAGCTTGGGATCAAGAACGATGCGCTTACTGTTCGTGCGAGTCGTCTGTAAGCCTGTCGAACTTCGTCCTTCTCAGCCCTCTGAGAGACACCTAGGATGTTGAAGCAATCAGTTGCAATACGTCGCTCTGGTCGACCCCTGGAATATGAAGCCTGTGCTTTGACCGGCGAACGGTACCGTTGAGGCGATGGCTGAGGAGCTCGGAGTGGGCTAGGCTGCACCCTGCTTTGGTTTGGCTTGGATTTCCCTCCCCATTCAATGGAGTTCTGCCTACGGAGGGGAGGCGGCGGCGACGGAAAGCGAACCACGCTCGCCATCAGGAGGAAATAGCAGGGCCAAGACGAGAACTAGGTTACGATAAATGAAGCAGAGCCAAGCAGGAAAACTAGGTTTTTGATGATTGAACTACTGAATGATCGAAACTGGTCGAAACAAACAAACTCAAGGAAGAAGCCTCTGGGCTGGTTAGCTTCTAAGAGACTGATGAGAAGTGGATGTGGATTCTGAGTTAGTAGATCTAAGCTGAAGCAGGGCTGTCCTGAATCTGATGGTGGTTACGAAAAAAAGCGGTTGGTGAAAGAGCTGACGAACTCTGGTCGGCTTTTGCTGTGCTGGAAATTGAACTGGGAGGGATGATGATGATATTATAACCTGACCGAGTTTGGAGTTCCCAGGGGGATTCAAAAGTGTGTTACTTTACAGCCTTCCCGCCAAGAGTTTGTGCAGTTGAAGTCGTTGCGCACCTGCCCGGCGGATATCACGGCAGAGTTTTGGGAGGAATAGAGAGCAAAAACGCGTTTTTCCCCAAGGAAACCTCGACATGGCTGGGTGGCTATGCGCGGGTATTTGATGGTCGATGGGGTGCACAAGCCGTTACAACGCGCGAAATGTGGCTGCTGTTCTGCTGGGCAGCCAGGGGAAACATTCCGATGGCGAAATGTTTCAAATTTTCCCGCTCTGTGACTGTCGACCCTAGATGTTGGCTCCCGACACTGGTAGATCGATCGAATCCACCAATCCACCTGTACTCTCCCACGACGAACCAGATCCCTGACAAAACCTCGGCGCTTCGAGAAGAGATATTGGTACTCTGTAACACAAATACTCAAGCATTGAATCAAGAGAGTCTATCCCTGTATGAATCTTAAGAGTGAGAAGAATTACCACATTAAGTTACTTCGCTACAAGCAAGTTACCATATAGAGTACTGAGAAGTTACTGAACCACATAAAGTTATTTCATGTGGTTCATGTGCTGCATGTGCTTCAGTCGCTCCAGGTGTTTCAGCTGCTCCAGCTGGTTCATGTGCTCTGGCTGTTTCAGGCCCTTCAGGTGCTTCAGGCGCTCCAGGTGTTTCAGGCGCTCCATGTGTTTCAGGCGCTCCAGGTGTTTCAAGCGCTCCAGGTGTTTCAGGTGCTCCAGGTGTTTCACCCTGCAGGAGGGTCTGACTGGAGTGCATCAGCAATGGAGATCTGATACTAGTGCCACCATTTCTTGTCATCATTATTTTCACGCTACCGGTAAATCCACCACATCAGATCAGAATTCGTCGTTGTTTAGTGTTACGTACCCTTTGAAAAGCCTACCATTAGTGACCCGCAGCTCATTTATCAACCTGTTCCAATTCGAACCCAGAGCGCCCACGAAATAATCACACTGCGAGGAAATAACCAGATTGGCAAAGCTGATTCCAACCAGCTGGTGCCCCACATCTCTCTCATAATCCACCATAAATTTGGTGCTGTTTTGGCGCGGGTTGTGCGAGTAATGAAATGTCCAGTCTTTGAATTGTGCCGCCTGGTTGATGATGAGCAAAAGGGAACCAGGGATGGGAATGGGGAGAAACAGGCACAAGAGGGATGAAGCTGATGGCAACTAGCTGATGCCCCATGTCTCTCTCATTGATGTCTCGCTCATAATCTACCATGTGCTTGTTGCTGCTTGCCATTGTAACGAGGTGACTTTTGAGTCGACTCAAAAGTCACCTCCTGCCAACCAGCTTATGCCAACCAGCTTATGCCAACCAGCTTATGCCAACCAGCGTATGGTAACCAGCTTATGCCCCTTGGCTTGCTCGTAACCCACCATGTGCTTGTTGCTGCTTTGGTGCTGGTCGTGGGAAATATGAAAAGACCAATCCTTGAATTGAGTTGCCTGGTCGATGACAGACTGGATTCAGACAGGGAGAGGGATGGAGAGAGGCGTTGAAAGGGAGAGGGATTCAAGAGGAAAGGACAGGGATGGGAAGTGATAGGAATAATGGGGATGAATTTGGTTCTGCATTGGCGCGGGTTGTGTGAGTGAAGGAAGGACCAATCCTTGAATTAAGCTGCCTGGTCGATGACTGACTGGATTCAGACAGGGAGAGGGATGGGGAGAGGCATTGAAAAGGGAGAGGAGAGGGTCACAGGGGACAAGATAGCATGAAGGCAGGGAAGGAGTGGAGGTGCATCTCACTGCCCTATAGCGCGCGCGCGCGCGCGCGCGCGCGTGTGTGTGTGTGTGTGTGTGTGTGTGTGTGTGAGTGCTCACCCGCCCACCCCACCAAATCTCACCTGCATTTCTGTGCTGAGCCAAACGTGCCTCAACTCTGGCTCCACACGCCTCAGCCGATACGCAAAGAACATGAAAGCCGCAAAGGAGTGGAGCTGCATCTCACTGCCCTTGTCGCCCTGCCTCACATGCACACTCACGATCGGCCGCGGCAGGTACGGCTCGGCCCTAAGACCTAGGTAGTGTTTGGAGCTAAGAAAGCCGCTTGTGGACGGTATGTCTACGTCAGAAACCCCTTCTATATTCGACGTATCGGTTGCACCGGTGCTGCTGATGCTGCTGGTGCTGCTGGTGCTGTCTGTGCTGCTACAGCTGCAGCTGCTGGGCCGCCTCTCTGCCCATGCCCTGGACTCCAGAGTGCAACCATTGAGAACACTGTCCACAGACGGGAACCCCCCCGTCAATTTAGGGTTATCAGTAGGGTTACCACTATCGGTGTTACCAGTCGGGTTACTGCTGGGGTTGCCACTGCTGCTGCTTGGGTTACCAGCGTCACTACCGTTACTGTTTACGTCAGAAACCCCGTCAGTACTGCTACCGTTCGTGCTTATATCATTAACCGCTGCTCCAGCGCTGTTACTGCTTCCATCGCCGCCTATACACGGCGGCGCAGCAGCTCTTAGCAAGGATAAAATCTCTGGGTGGGTGTGGGCCAGGGCGGCCTGCTGGGCGGCAGAGGCGGAGAGGTGGGCGGCAACTGAGAGGCCGTAGGAGGTGTGGCGGACACGGTTGGTGATGTGGCAGAGGTAAGAAGAGGGGAAGCGGAGGAGGAAGCGGATGGATTGAGCCCGCCACCAGTGCACCTGGTAGGAGGAGGTGAGGGGGAAGAGAAAGTGAGGGGGAAAAGGAGGTGGCGGAGAGGTGGGCGGCAACTGAGAGGCCGTAGGAGGTGTGGCGGACACGGTTGGTGATGTGGCAGAGGTAGGCGGAGGGGGAGCGGAGAAGGAAACGGATGGATTGATCCCGCCACCAGTGCACCTGGGAGGAGAGGTATAGGTGGGGAGAATAGTTGGGTGGGGAGGGGTGAAGGGACAATAGAGGGGCTGTGAGAGGTGTGGCGGACACGGTTGCTGATGTGGCAGAGGTAGGCAGAGGGGGAGCGGAGGAGGAAGCGGATGGATTGAGCCCGCCCCGCCGCCAGTGCACCTGAATAGAGGGGCCAGATACAGTTGGTTGATGTGATGTGGCAGAGGTAGGCAGAGGGTGAGCGGAGGAGGAAGCGGGTGGATTGGGCCCGCCCCGCCGCCAGTGCACCTGGGAGGAGGGGGAGGGTAAAGGTGGGGGTGGAGAGGCAATTCAGATACATGTGGGTGGTGTGATGTGGCAGAGGTAGGCAGAGGGTGAGCGGAGGAGGAAGCGGGTGGATTGGGCCCGCCCCGCCGCCAGTGCACCTGGGAGGAGGGGGAGGGTAAAGGTGGGGGTGGAGAGGCAATTCAGATACATGTGGGTGGTGTGATGTGGCAGAGGTAGGCAGAGGGTGAGCGGAGGAGGAAGCGGGTGGATTGGGCCCGCCCCGCCGCCAGTGCACCTGGGAGGAGGGGGAGGGTAAAGGTGGGGGTGGAGAGGCAATTCAGATACATGTGGGTGGTGTGATGTGGCAGAGGTAGGCAGAGGGTGAGCGGAGGAGGAAGCGGGTGGACTGGGCCGCCCCGCCGCCAGTGCACCTGGGAGGAGGGGGAGGGTAAAGGTGGGGGTGGAGAGGCAATTCAGATACATGTGGGTGGTGTGATGTGGCAGAGGTAGGCAGAGGGTGAGCGGAGGAGGAAGCGGGTGGACTGGGCCGCCCCGCCGCCAGTGCACCTGGGAGGAGGGGGAGGGTAAAGGTGGGGGTAGAGAGGCAATTCAGATACATGTGGGTGGTGTGATGTGGCAGAGGTAGGCAGAGGGTGAGCGGAGGAGGAAGCGGGTGGACTGGGCCGCCCCGCCGCCAGTGCACCTGGGAGGAGGGGGAGGGTAAAGGTGGGGGTGGAGAGGCAATTCAGATACATGTGGGTGGTGTGATGTGGCAGAGGTAGGCAGAGGGTGAGCGGAGGAGGAAGCGGGTGGACTGGGCCGCCCCGCCACCAGTGCACCTGGGAGGATAGGCGGGGTGGGTATCGGTGGTGAGGGGGAAAGTGGAGTGAGGGGGAACGTGAAGTGAGGGGGAACGTGAAGTGAGGGGGAACGTGAAGTGAGGGGGAAGAAGTAAAGGGGGGTGTTAAACATGTGAAGCTGCAAACTCGTGTACAACCAAGGATATCCTAGCATGCCCCAAAACACCCCAACCAAGCACACCCCAGCACACCCCAGCACACCCCAGGACACCCCAAAACTCCCCAACACGCCCCAGCACAACCCAGCACACCCCAGCACACCCCAGCACACCCCAGCACACCCCAGCACACCCCAGGACACCCCAGGACACTCCATCTCACCCGTTGTCTTGTCTCATCCCCCTCCCCCACGAATCCAACCACCTCCATGGTGTTGGGCCGCTCACGATACGCATTGGGCCAACGGCTGCAGATGTGCGTGGGGAGGGAAGGGAGGGAAAAGAGGGAGAGGAAGGAAGAGAATGGTGTGTGTGGTGAGTACAGGTGAGAGCAGGTACACCCTTCCCCGTCGCCCCTCCCCCACGCCCCTCCCCCACGCCCCTCCCCCACGAATCCAACCACCTCCATGGTGTTAGGCCGCTCACGATACGCATTGGGCCAATGGCTGCAGATGTGCGTTGGGAGGGAAGGGAGGGAGAGGAAGGGAAAGGAGGGAAGAGAATGGTGTGTGTGGTGAGTACAGGTGAGAGCAGGTACACCCTTCCCCATCGCCCCTCCCCCACGCCCCTCCCCCACGAATCCAACCACCTCCATGGTGTTAGGCCGCTCTAGATAAGCATTGAGCCAACGGCTGATGGGTGTGAGTGGGGGCGAGGAGGAGGGGCCAGGGAGAAAGGGGAATGGTATTGAGTGATAAAAGCGTATGGTATGGTGTGGGGGTAATAGTAACCAACGCAGGTTGAATTGATCTAACTAACCCCCCTCTCCTCTCCTCCCCATTATCCTCCCCCCCTCTGCCTTCCTTCACCTGACATCCCCTTCAAAGCATAATCCGTTATAAGGCTCCCCATGTAACAGCACCAGGCGCTGCTGCTCTGACCCCAAAACCCCCTCCCTGTCCTCCGCTGTCACTCGTGGCAGCATCCCACTTTTGAGTAGACTCAATAGCTCCTCACCTCACATCCCCTTCAAAGCGTAATCCGTTATAAGGCTCCCCGTGGAACAGCACCACGCGCTGTTCTGACGCCAGAACCGCCTCCTTGCTGTCCTCTGTCATACGTGGCAGCGTCTCATTGGCCGCTGCTGCCGCCGCCACCGCCAGCTCAGCTTCGTGCTCACAGGCAGGCGAGACGAGGGGGAAGAAGTAGCAGTGGAAGGAACCGAAAGTGCCTGTGGCTGGAAAATACAGGAAGGAAGGGGAGGGGGGGAAAGGTTGGGAAGAGGGGGTGGTGTGTAGTAAGGTGATTGCACCGCCGCCGCCACCGCCAGGTCAGCTTCGTGCTCACAGGCAGGCGAGACGAGGGGGAAGAAGTAGCAGTGGAAGGAAGCGAAAGTGCCTGTGGCTGGAAATTGGAGGGGGGAGCGGAGTTTAGGAAGGCGGGACAGGGGGGAAAGTTGACTGCTCCGACAGCTCAGCTCCGTGTTCACAGGCGGGGGAGACGAGGGGGAAGAAGTAGCAGTGGAAGGAAGCATAAGTGCCTGTGGCTGGAAGAAAGGGACAGAGAATGGGGAAAGAGAGAGGAGGAGGAGTTTTGGGGGGTGTTCAAGTTGTCACACAGGTAGTGGAGACGAGGGGGAGAAAATAGCAGCTCAGCTCACCATTGCAATCGGCGTGACTGGCTCGAGTGAACGACCCCCGAGTGGGAACCATCACCCTTTTGAACCGCATTGCGAGGCTCAGAATCGCGCTCATGATGTGCAGCTGTGAGCCAATCCCGTGCACCGAGCTCGGCCAATCCACCAATAGGAGCCGGTCTTCGCTGCAGTCTCCCCCAGGGGGAAACTGGTGCGCCCAGATGTCCCTCTGAGCGACACGTGTCATCGCCAGATTGGCTGCATCAGACCCGAGGATCCAGGGCGGCTGGGGGTGAGCTTGTGCCGCCCAGGGGGGAAGCTCCCCCCTTCCCCCCATTCCTTGCAAGCCTTCCCCTGATTCTCCTTTTTTTTCTGCCCCCACTTTCCCCGTTTTCCCTGATGCTTCCCCTTTTCCTTCCCCCACATCCCCATCTTCCCCCCTACTTCCTGCTTTCCCCCCTTTCCCCCCTTCCCCCGCTTCCCCCTGCTCCTGCGCCCAGCGCCAGGCAGTCAGCGCAACGCAGTCCTCCAGGTGGGGGGGAGGGGGAACGCGCGGGGGGAGAGCGATGGCGGAAGGGGGAAGTGGGGAGTCCGCCTGCAGCCTATATGCCGCCTCCCATGCCTGTCAGGGGAGGTTGAACGGTGGGGAGAGAAGGGGGAACGGTTACTAGAGAGGGGGAACGGTCGGGGGGATGGGCATGGCGGAAGGGGAAAGGGGGAAGTCCGCCTGCAGCCTATATGCCTCCTCCCATACCTGTCAGGGGAGGGTGAACGGTCAGGGGGAAGGTGGAACGGTCAGGGGGGAGGGGGAACGGTCAGTGGGATGGGTGCGGCGGAAGGAGGACGAAATACGGACACGAATCATGCTAAAACTGCAGTGCTGTACCCGATATAAGGACATCGCGTGCTCCAGACCCGCGTCTCCTTGAGCATTTGTCCGCGTTATAAGCACGAGACCCGCTACTGCGGCTACTACAGAGCGCCACAAAAGCCAGCCAACGGCCGGCAAGCGGAACCGCGACATCTAGCGAGTCGGACGATTAGGGCCAGCGAATCAGGGGAGCCGGAGCGGACAGCAAATTAATCGAATCGACGTCGACATGAAGTTTTGAGGCGTCTCAGAACTCGGAATCAAGAAATCAATACCCGGTAGCCTACACGTCGCACTAAATATGGCGACTCTCCCCGTACTCGACATAAATTTGATTGGATTTGCTCGAATCGCTCTTCTATAACGCAGTGCCTCTTGCAATACACGGATAAGCCTCGGCCTACATATTGCACTGGACCATCCTATCGGACGGCATTTCAATAATCTCCGACGGTATGTTTCCAGGACGGCAATCCTTCAGCGACAGTGCAGAGTGGAAGGGATGCCGAGGCGCGGACAAGGAGCTACAGCATCAACGGATGCGAGGGTGATACATCGATTTGAGCCGCCGCGCCTGTGCTGTTACAATTGATGCCTGTTTGAGCCCCTCCCGGTTGCCTTGTGAAGGGGGCGTATAAGCTGTATCGAGCATTTCGCATAAGTTTCGTTAATTCGCAGCTAGCTAAAAAGGATTCGCAGGTGCTTAAATTAAGGATCTGTAACCTTATCCGTTGACACTTTGACTTCGGTCTCTTCAGTTTGACTTTGGTCTGTTCGTTACTATTGGTCCATAACCACGCGACGCGCTTGTATCGTGGGTGCAACAGGCTGGGGAAAAGACCTCGGGTGCAGCGTTTCCATCCGGTGCAGGGAAAATTCGCGTGCACTGGTTGGGCATCATGTGTATCAACCGGAGGTCCAAGAGTTTCTAAGTTAGGAAGGTTGAAAGGGGAGAGAAAGGTGACTGGCTCGCGAGCCAGGGTGGTGTCGAAATTGGTGGTCTGGGGTCGCAAAGGAAGAAAATTTCGCGAAAATAACCAGATCTGGAATGCAACGTCAGAACTGGTTCGCAGACAGTTTCGGACGGGCTTCAAATTTGTTGGCGAAATCGTCACTGCTTTCGTCCTCGCTAGAACAGTAGTTTCGCGTGACGAAAATTGTCCCCCCTATTTGAGAAGTGAGTCGTACCTACTGGGTCACCCCTTCTCAAAGTTAGGAAGGTTGAGGCACTTTGGGGCTGTTTGGGACTCCGGTTTTAATGTAGTTAATTCATGTAGTCGTGATAGGGGTGTTACATGTACTAACATGGCCATTCCTATTTTCGATAAATGTTTGTTACGTGAATTCATACGTGATTTTTTTTCTCCTGATTTAATGTCGAATTCTGTTCATGACTGAATATTTGCACCCCGTTACCATCAACGACTAGATAAGGATGTGATTTTAGCTGGAAACACTTTGGATTTTCTTTTGTTCCCGGCTATACGGAAATCGCGTGATCGCCTGAGGCGTACAGAAACCACGTTTATCCAGGTGGTGTAGCGACACGTGTTCGCGTTTGCCTTTTGAACCAACCTAGGGAGCTTTTCCGCCAGCGTGGCACTCTTCTGACCACGCCCTTCCCGCCTAAACCTCGATATCTTCCCACTAGGCTCCTACTGCGGAGCAGCTTTAGGGATGGTTGCTCACAGTACCGCTTATGACCGCCACTCACCTTTCTGAACATCGATACATGAACGGCTATGCAAAAGCATACTCCGGATCACTATTTTTCCATTCACCATTTGCCTTGATTTAGTGGTCGTCTATCAGAAATGCCAGCCAGTGTGCTTTCCTCTCTAATGCCGGATTCATAAAGCTCGAGACGCGTCGTTGTTCGTGTCAGTCTCCTGCGTTTCGCTGCTTTCCCTTGAATTCATCAGCGGAAGCGGCTGAGGCTGATAGAATAATCCGTCGTTTCCATCTTAAAACATTCCACACAACCGTCAGCCTGCTTTCCGCATTAATCGCTATTCGTCATGGCTCAAATACTCTGCGCTAGTGCCTCTGGCAACTTGACGGCCAAATCCCTGCACGGATGCACAAATGTTAGACATTCACCGGTTTCTCCGCTGACCAGCATCTCATTGCGAAGCTCCTTTTCCGGAACCGGAAGCTTCTCAGAAGCAAAACACAACCGCAGAATCCCGAATCGGCGAATCTCGGGATTGCCGGGTCGTGCTCGTGCAGAGGATACGAGCGACGCCAGCGATGATAGCGACACTCCGGTCGCGGAAACAGCCAATGTCGCCAACAGGCTGACCACAGACGGCCCCCTCCTTCGGCCTCGATCTGTTTCCATACCCTTTGGGGATCGAGAGGTACGGTCGGTACAATGCATATTCATGCTTTCTCTGCCCTTTAAGCCTTTCCTTCAATCTCTCGCTTCATTCGCATTCTTTCCCTCTCATTCTCCTTGTTTTTCCTTCCGATTTCCCTGCTTTGTTTCCGGGATCACCTTTGACGCAAATTTCATCTCTCGCGTTCCTTCGTATCCATTCTCTCCCATTCGATTCGACCCTCTCATTCCAGTTAGCACGCTCTGCCTCTCAGATAACCGTCGAGAGTATTTTGACCAACGCGAAACACATCTCTCGCATTCATTCACATTCATTCACATCTCTCGCATTCATTCACATTCATTCACATCTCTCGCATTCATTCTCATCTCCACGCTGTGCTCTCAGATAACCGTTGAGGTGGGGCGGATGGGGCGGCAGGCCAACGGCGCCGTGACTGTAACGGACGGAGAGACGGTGCGTGCATATAGCGAGCGATGTAATCCGATAGCACCACCAGCTATTTCTTTCCACAATTGAACAGGCTAACATGGCAACTTCCCCGGTCAGATTCGTAACGCCTCAAAACAGGCTCGAATGTAACCTGGATCCCCTTCTCCCGTTACCACCCAATTAACCCCTTCCCCCCCCTCCCCTTCCTTGGCTCCCCCCCCATTACCCAGGTGCTGTACTGCACGGTGTGTGCGTCAGAGGAGGAGAGTGAGCCCGCAGGCTCTCAATCACACAGCACGAAAGTCAGCAATATCTCTCCTCCCTCCCGCTACCACCACCCAATTAACCCCTTCCTCCCCCTCCCCTTCCTTGGCTCCCCCCCCGTTACCCAGGCGCTGTACTGCACGGTGTGTGCGTCGGGGGAGGAGAGTGAGCCCTTAGGCACTCGAGTGTGCATTCCCACCACGTAACAACACCGCTCCCCTCCCCCCTCCCTACCACACACAGGTGCTTTACTGCACGGTGTGTGCGTCAGAGGAGGAGAGCGAACCCTCGGACTTTGTGCCGCTCTCTGTGAGCTACCAGGAGAGGTTCAGCGCTGGCGGACGCACCAGGTGAGAGAGTGACGGCTGTTGAGGGGACGCACCAGGTTAGAGTCAGCGCCAGACTTGCACTGACAGTACTGTACCGTACTTTCCTGTACTGTGTGTCGGGCATGGTGTTGAAAATCTTTCAACGAAGGATCAGATAGAAACCATTTTAAAACAGGCAGAGTTAAAGAGCTAGCTCGTGAAATTCGTCAGAAAATGGGTTTTTAGATGAGAGGAAGGGCTGGACTTGCATTGCATGAGAGAAAGCCTTCTAGTGACCAATCTTATTGCCATTCTTATTTGTGCGAACTTCAACCCGTTTGTCATTTGTATTCTTACGTATGGTAGGTTCATCCGATTGCCGTTCTCATTCTTACACGCAAACCCTGCTTTTGTCTCCCCCTCAACTCCTCCACGCCCCTTCTTCCCGATTGCAGTGGGGGCTATTTCAAGAGAGAAGGCCGGCCAAAAGACCATGAGGTACGATCTATGCCCTACAGTAGCAAGCCTGTTTTGGATTAAACTCAAAATTAGGTCATTTTAAGAGAGAAAGGCCGGGCAAAAGACCACGAGGTACGATTGACGTCCTACAGTGGCTAGCCTTTTTCCTAGCTTTCTGGACGCACATGTACATACACTCCTGGTAATTAGAGTTATTCTTTCCCCTTTTTTCCCCATCTGTTTTCTCACCAGATCCTGGTGTCTCGCTTGATTGATCGACCTCTGCGTCCCATGGTGGCCAAGGGGTTTAACCACGAAGTGCAGGTCCTATCGTGGGTGAGTCGACGTCACTGGGGGTTCTAAGTTTAGAGTCGAGCTGAAGAAGATTCATGAATTACTGGTGGAAGGTATGGAAGCATATCCCTCACCAGATCCTAATATCTCGTCTCTTCAACTGCCCGCTGTGTCCCATGGTGGCCGAAGGCTTCAGTGCAGGTCCTCTCCTGGGTGAGTCGAAGGCAGCAAGGGTTTCGGGTTTATGGGAACGGTATTCACTATTCACATTTGTTCAGATGTCAAGTCAAAACCACCTGTTATCTAATCTCTCGAACGAATGCTGCTGTTGTGCTGTGCTGCATCCGGATCCTTGCATGTCAGTTCGTGGTCTTTCTTTGCACGTCCGAATCCTGGCACATCCCAGCTGCTGAGCTATGATGGCGCGCAACCAGTTGAGCTACGGCGGAGAGCATAGCCCCGACGCCCTTGCCATCACTGCCAGCCACTGGTGCTACTTTTGAGTCGACCAAAGAGTCAGAAGTCAAAATTCTGAACCCATTATTTCCTTTCCCTACCCTCCCTCCCTTTTATGATTTTCAGTTGTTGACCTACGATGGAGAGCACAGCCCCGACGCCCTTGCAATCACCGCTGCTGGCGCTGCTTCAGAGCCCACTTAGAAATCATTTTTCCTTCCCTACTCTCCCTCCCTGATTCAGCTGTTCAGCTATGACGGGGAGCACAGCCCCGACGCCCTTGCAATCACTGCTGCTCCCTGATTCTCAGCTGTTCAAAAGTCATCCCTAAACCCATGACCTCCCTTCCCTACCCTGCCTTTCATGATCCGCAGTTGTTCAGCTACGACGGAGAGCACAGCCCCGACGCCCTTGCCATCACCGCTGCTGGCGCTGCACTGTGAGCATTCTTGCCATTCCTTCCCCCACTCTCCCCTAC